GGGAAAGAGCCATACCACCAAGTCCCAAGACCTTCTCAACTGCCCTCGTCCTCCCAAAGGAACCTGAAATTCTCGGATTGGAACTTACCAGAGTAGGTACAGGATGTTCTCTAACTCAACTTCACCTTGCAAAGTACAAGGTGAAGATACTGTGGGTTCTGTTCTAGACCACCGCAATAAAGCAAATATCGCAATAAAGCGAGTCACAAATTTTTTGGTCGCCTGCTGCATATAAAAGTTATGTTTATACTGTACTGCAGTCTATTTAGTGTGTAATAGCATTATGTCAAAAAAATGTACATACCTTAATTTAAAAATGCTTTAGTGCTAAAAAATTCTAACCATCATCTGAACCTTCAGCAAGTCGTAATTTTTTTGCAACAGTAACATCAAAGATCACTGATCACAGATCACCATAACAAATATAATCATAACGAGAAAGTCTGAAATATTGCAAGAATTACCAAAATGTGCATGAAGTAAGCAGATGGGAAAAAAATGGCGCTGATAGACCTGCTCGATGCAGGGTTGCCACAAAACCTGTTTGTAAAAAACACAGTATCTGTGAAATGCAATAAAGCGAAGCACAATAAAATGAGGTGTGCCTGTAGGACTTCCGCTTCTGGCCGTGAAGATTAACTAGTATCAGACTTGCCCCCCTGCTGTCTAGAACCAGAAAACCAGGTAACAGATAGTGCGGACTATCCCTTAGAGAAGAGAAACTAACGAGGTGATCTCTATGACCACTCAGCCTTCCTGCCCACAAGCCCTTTCCCGATCCTAGTACAGGAGGAACTCTAAGCAGAGAACAGTCATCTTGTCAAGTTGAGGGGCAGAAGGCTAAGTTTAGGAGGCTGAGGCTGCCAGGCTTTTTGGAACAGAATACTGAAACGAAGGAAGCTACATAGAAAAAGAGTTCCAGAAATCGGTACAGAGATTCTCTGGAGTCTTTGGCTGATACTATGTGCACATGCAGAGATAAGACTCCAAGAGCCAGCAAAGAACAGCTACGGGTGCTGTAAGCAGAACAATTCCCAAAGCTGACATAGGGGTAGGAGACTGTTGACACTCCAACCAACCAGAGTGAAGAGATCCCATTGAAAAGCCACAGGGAGTACTGGACTTTAGTAGTAGGGCTAAACCAGCCATAGAGTCAAGGTTGCCAGATCCGCCCTAACAAAGATATAGACGTGAACTATCAATGCCGTAACCAGTCCAAACTGAGATGTGCTTGTAAGTATAAATAAAATACAAACCAGATCTTGTGGGCTTTACTATGAAAAAAAATGTAAATTATATCATTAATAGTTTTTATACTGCTTACATTTGAAATGATAATATTTGGGAAATGATGGGTTAAACAAAATATATTATTAAAATTAAGTTTTAAAAAAGAGAGAGAGTCCAGTGGTCACTACGTAGCCAGAAATGGAAAGTATGCAGGAAGGATTATTTCAAAATCCCCATTTAGCTTTCTTAACCAGTAAAACCAACCCTTTGAAATATTTACTTTCTTAACCACACGTTCAGTGCCTGACATATAATCCTGTTATAGTAAATCCTCACATAATAACTAATTATGTGTTTAGGAGAGGGGTATTTTTGAGAGTAACAGCCTATGGAGGAAATTATTTAACTACTAAAGGGCTTTAAAAAGGAAATACCTCCTAAGAGACCAAAGGAAGGATTAAAGATTTATAAACAGGTTACATTTAGCAATAGATAGAAAAAAGAAAACAAAAACAAAAAGCAAGGCCCCACCAAAAAAAGAGATAACCAGAGATACCAAAAACATGATTTTAATTAAATAGTTTTACCTATATTTTCTATTTCCAAACATAAGAGGAAAACACCTTCCATCAAGGGAAGCTCTTTAGGTAGTTCTGAGTATCTGTTTCAGCTTATAACTGTCTTCAGCTTACAACTATATAAATATTAATAGTATTTATTAACATTCACATTTAGTATAAACTTTCGAAAATGTTTAAATGTAAAAGTAAGGAAGTGGTAGTGGGGAAAGGGGCTTGTTTGTCTAAGAAGCTACAGGAAATAACAAGAGCAATTCCTGAAACCTGATATGATTTCACTTTTGCTATGTATAAGCTGCCTTTGCATCAAGAGAGAACACATGGGGAGTTACTGAACATTTTGTGGCGGTTGGAGCAAAATAAGAATCTACCTTGTAAGCTTTGGTGGTAGACATGGGTTCATGCTATGCCACAAAGCTACCTTCCATAAGACCAGTTAGTGTCTCCAAACTAAGCTAGGTGTTTCCAAGGGCACTCCCAGCTTTGCATGAATCAGTTAAGTGTTTCTTAGGCAGTCCTTCCAAGTCTGGGGGTGCACAGGCCACCAAGACGCACATCAAGGAGAAAATGGAGAGGTGCCAATGATCTAGTAATTCTTTCCTGATCAAAATGTTTTCACACCCGAGAAAGAAGTGGATTATTTTGATCCAAAGTGACAAACAAATATAAAATAGCCAAGCATTATAACTGAGTCTTCATTTTCTATGTGAATTCAAAATTGAAATATTTCACCATGAAATGCCAATAATCTGTGCAAAGACCTTTGGGGTAGAACCTTATTAAATTCTGCATTCAGATGTATGTGTAAGCTTTCCCTGAGTATGCTCCTCTCAAAACTGTAAACAAAATTTACAAATATGGTAAAATCTCTAGAATTATCAGTGGAGCTGGGGAGGTAATTTAGAGCCAGTTGATTGTGACATGACAACAAAAGATCACATCTACTGATTTATGGAATGAGGTCAGCCTGTGGATAGGCATTTGTATTTACATATGTTAATTACATTCATACTTACAGAATCATATGTTAGATACTTGAACATGATCTGAAATCTTTTGTCCTTTGCATATGTTCTTTTTTGCGCACTTAACATGCCCCTGTATTTACTCTTAACTGTGTCCGTCTTCCCAGCTAGATTTTAAACATCCTTGAAGGCAGAATCATGAGATGCTCAAAGCCTGTAAATATATTAGCTCTACAAATCTAATAAATGAAAAAAGAAAACACACCCAGTAAAAAAAAAAAAAAACCCAAGCAATATTTATAGCTTGCAGCTACCCAGAACTTATTCTAACATTAATCTTTCTTTAGTATATTCTTAGACCTGAGTTAGTTGTTTTTCACTTTAAGCCAAGCTTTCATTTTCATTTTGCAAGTTTGCATTTTCATGTTCACTAGTAATGTCCTTCTGGACTACATCTTGAATTTTCTCTGCAAGAGCATGAAGTTTGGCTTTTCTGAGACTTTTAATCAAAGTGCAATATGCATCTTTCTTCCCATGACTTTGATACCAATTACGGAGCAGTTGGACTTTCTGTTCAGCTGTATCTTGGGGATTGTCGTGCTTGATCTCATCTATTTTAGTTTCCTCCATACCATTCTTCCGAACAAATTCTTTGACTTCAGTTATTTTCATTTGTTCAGCAATACTAATGATATGTTTTCCCAAGTCAATGTCTGAAAAATAGAGAACAGTCTCTGAAAATTTGTTTTTCTAAGCAAAATTCCCACTTCTGAAAACCATGTTTATTTCTCCTCTTACAGTACTTAAGAATATGGGTAAGTCCTAGAGATCTAAAGAGCCAGTCAGGGGAAAACAAAAACAGAAACAACCTTGAGTTCTAATCCCAACTCCTCCTGTGTCCCCAGTAATTTGCTCTATTACCTGGGCAAGATACATAACATCTCTGTGCCTTCTTTTCTCATCTATAAAGTAAGAGGGCTGGAAAAAATCACCTCTAACGTCCCTATGGATTTGATGATCAATGACCCACACATCTAAAAGGCTGGCCAAGAATTTATGTGACCATCTTATCACTGACTCACAGGTCGAAGAACAGAACAGAATAGAATAATGAATGTTGTTACGGAACTAGGATACATCAATAATAACTGAGTCTACAACTCAGATTAGTCTCTGAGTCAATGTAGGCAGGAGTTCTATACTACACCTAACTGCTTGTGAAGGAAAATTAAGCCTTCAGAATACAGCATCTTTTGTTACCTGAGTACTTGGTTATACATTTAAACAAACTGCTTAATAAACCCTTTTTGGTGAGCAGGAAGAACTGGAACCTCAAGAAACGGCAAGACCCCACTATATGTTACTGAAATTCACAAAATTATTTAACTCTAAGATTAGCCTGTGACTCCTAAAGAAGCCATCTCGATGAAGTAAAATGATAAAAGTTTTACCTGTGAAATTCACTGGCATCATTTCCTGGGGAGAAAAAAAAATGGAGGGAAGGAGAAAGATAAGATATATTTAGAATACATGTAATAGAATACTCTAAATGTAATAAAATACTCTAAATTGTATAAATTTAGACTAAGTGACTAAGGAGGATTCTTTCACCATTCAAATTTTTATTCTGAAAGTTTCCAGCCTAACCAGAAACTAAGGAATATTGGCTTTTTTTTTTTTTTTTTTTTACGGAGGCAAGGAACCTAAGTAATTTGTGGAATGTACTGAGTTTATTCTTTATATAGACTCATGAAAATAGACATAATAACCATAATCATTCTAAAATTTTCTTTACTGTAACTATTCTAATTTTTGACACGACAACATAGTTTAAGTTGAAATGATTTTGTACCATATTGATTTAAAGAACCCTAAGCCCCACTGGCCCCAAATGAGAAAATCGTTATTCACCAAGTGAACTGGTTACTCTCCCCAGTGTATCTTTTGCTATATGTGTGTGTGGTTTGTTTTTTGTTTGTTTTTTTTTGGCCGCTCTGTGCGTGGCTTGTGGGATCTCAGTTCCCCGACCAGGAATCGAATCCTGGCCATGGCAGTGAAAGCCACTAGGCCACCAGGGAACTCCCTCTTTTGCTATTTGAAATGCTTTGATTCCATGTTGTAAAAAGATATGGTGACAGATAAGGTAACAAGCGTCTGGAGAGAGCTGAGTTGTACCTTTACAATGGCTTTAAGTGTTATCTCTGGGTCTGGACTTGGATACGGAATCCCTGCTCTGGTAAGGGATGTGTCTCTGCATTTCTCTTCAGGATAATACCAACATGGAACATGGAAGCTTGGCCACATCCTTTTCTCAACTCCCTTTGTGTAAGTGAGAATTTATTACTAAGAATTAATTCTTGTTATTTGTATAGAAGCTTCTTATCAACTGGGAACCATATCTTAATTCATTTTTGATGCCCCTCTAACCCATGCACACACAGGCATCATAAATGTTTTTAAAAAAGTAAAAGTAAAAAGCTGAATGACTACCTTCTCTATTTTTTTAAGAAAGCTGATGCATGTTTCAACACTTACAGTATTTGAGGCTATAGATTTCTGGTGACCATTCTTTCTATTCCTGCGCCGTCTTTTCACCTCTGAAAGATCCAAGAAATTTCTATCAGACTCAGGTCTCAGCCTTGTAGGAAGCATGTGAGAATATACTCTCATACTAAGAGAAGTGTGAGAAGAAAGAAGAAACTCATTCATTGAAATTTAAAGCAACCGAGCACCATAGAGGCAGATTCATCGGGATTTTGAAAATTCCATCCCACCGAGTCAAGTGGTCTAGAGATATGCCACACCTTAATGGAGCCATCCAGTTACCACACACTGGCCTAGCCTGAAGCTGGCTTTTGACTTATTGTATGGCCATCACCACTCCCTCTCACTGGCTTGAAGCTGGGCACAGAAGCCATAGGCTATGGAAAGTCGACATCAGTTTGCCATGAAGTGGCATTTAATGCCCCCAAACTCACGTACACACAGTCACAAATAACTCAAATATATATACTCAATAAGTGTATGCCTTGAAGTCAGTATGAGGTGGAAGAAAGAAATCTAGAAGTCTCCAAGCACAATTTAAGTGTTTAAACATTGAGTTTATATTTTTAGTTAAACAATCTCTAACGGCAAGGCAATCTCTTTATCTTCAGCTGACCTGGAGAAACAGTGATTTGTTCCAACAGAAAAAGAAAAATTCGATGTTTCAGAGTTATTGAAATTTGGCACCACCACGTGTTGTATGAATGACCTAAAGGGATTTTTCTAGAGTAATTATAAGTATAGCCAATTTTGGCTTACGTGCTGACTTTACTAAGTAACCCTCACATAAAAGGTATTGCCACAGTATTTTAAGTTAAGGTGGAGAAATAATCAAAAAGCATGGAGTCTGGACAAGGGCAAGGAGGCACAGACAGGGGTGAATTTATCGAGGGTCCCCTGCAATGCCTTCGCTCCTTGAATTCCCTTTGTGCATGGGATGATCTCAATGTAGACTGAAGGACAACTTCCGATTCTTGGCCAACTCAGCTACTGCCTAAATACAAATACCCTTGTTCATGGGGAGGGTGGGAACACCCAATCAGTGCCCCAGAATGGTTGCTCAAAAACAGTAGCTGAGACATAACATCATCTGTTCTTACCAGCTCTCAGGGGTGCATTTAGAAGCAGGAATTTAACACCATACCAGAGCTGCCTACTTGGTAGGAGCTTTCTTTCTCCTGGTAGGTAGGAGACAGGAGGGAATTCTTGTGAACAACTACCTCCCAAGTTACTGCAATCTACAGTTTGAACAAAGTAAAAACTTACCCCTGTATATTAGTGCAGATATTGGAATGAGGATCAGGGGGGCCCATAAACTGTGTAAGTTAGATCTGGATCCTGTAGATTGGAACACTGGACACGGTAAATGAAAGTAAGCAATTTTTAAGATTAAAACAAAGTACTCTCAAAGAATCAAAAGTTTTGGATGGGCTTTTCTTCATATTTTACAGTGGGGTTGGAAGGAAGGAGAATATAATCGTAAAAAGAAATAATTACCTTCTCTGCATTTAGTGTTGCTGGTTGGTGTGCATTTCTCAATGATTCCATGTTCACACCTAGAAAAAAATACAGAGGGAATTCAGAAAGCCTGGTGGACTGGTTCCTTGATCATTTTCAATGACACACTATATAAATCCAGGGCCATTTTATTCATTTTTGCATTTTTGGCAAACATATTTCCTCAAATATTTCTAAATTAGCACCTACACTCGTGCAAATTCATAACATAATTTCCTTGTTTAGATGAAAAATATCCCAAAGAATGACTATGGTTTAAAATGCCTTGAGGTAAAAGAAGGTATTAAAACATCAACATATAAGAAAAAGGATGAACTAGACACAAAAATAAAGTTTAATTTGGTCATAAACTGTGCTCTTAAAATCATAAATTGCCAAAAGCAATTTCCAAACAGTCCCATAGAACAATAAAATGGCCAGACAATAGCCACTGCCCAGGCTGCTGCTTAGGGAGTCTACCTAGGTGGTCCTTAAAGGTTACCCATTTTAGCACCAAGTGGTGATTACAGCACTCAAGAGGTTCCTGTGGGATTTTCTTCAGACAGCCAAACACTGACAAATTGTCTGAATTATAACCTGGCTCTGCCTATTACTTAACTAGGTGAGCTTGGGCAAGTCACTTAACCACCATGAGCCTGTTTTCTCATCAATAACAAGGAGATAATATTACTTGCCTCAAAGGGTTACTGTGAAAAGAAAATTAAATCAAGATTGTGAAGTATTTAGAATTATTATTATTATTATCATTATTTTACTACATTAGTTCCCCTCCCAATCCCCACTTACACTGTCACCATGACCGTACTCTCAGACACTTAGGCTAGAAAGGAGAGTCTAGGTTAACTGCACATAATTTAACACTTTCTAGTAAATAAGAGACATAAGGCATTGTGTCCCTGCTTTTCAAGTCTACTAAGTGAACTCCTAAAAAATTCCCAAGGTGAATTACAAGTTTAAGGAGAGGCACATGAATATAATCCTAAATATTTATACTTATACAAAACAACATCTTACAAAGCGAAAGCTGTTTTGACAACACATATTACCCATCTGATCTTCACAGAAATTAGGTTGATAAGACAAATGAATATTATCTGCATCCTATGAATGAGGAAACTGAAGCTCAGAGAGGTTAAGTGATTTGCTCAAAATCACCCAATTAATCAGAAGAAAAGTGAAATCTATAATCAGTTGTTCTATCTTTGGGTCAAAACCAAGCTCTTTTAGCATGAAAGACAGGTCTTTCATGATCTGATCCTGGCTCCTTCTCAGTCTTTCCTACACTCCAGCCAGGTCGTCTGTTCTCCAGAGCTTCCTTTTATCTCTTTGCAGTGGCTGTTCCCCTGCCTGAAATGTCCCTTCCATCCGTATACACCTGGTAAGGCTCTTTCTTTCCTTCAAGACTCAAGCCATGTGTCATATCTTTACCCATCTCCCCAGGCAGAGTTGAAAGCTTTTCCTATATAATTCAACACCCTGAGTACACGTCTCTTCTTGCCATGTGGTATGAACACAATAACCACTGCTTTTCTTGACACTCTCTGCCTCTAGCCTTAGACCAAAGCCTGGTCCGTGTCTGCTCATATCGTTGGCTTGAGCAGCCAGCACAGTATCAAGCACATAGGAGGTGTTCAATAAATGTTTAGATATAGGATGTTTGGGTGAAGAAATGGTTATCCAGTTGCTTGGAGGCTTCCCTTTAGGAAATCATTCTGTCTCAAGATATACCTAGTGTTTTAACCAGAGAAAGACTAAAACTTACTTGGTACAAGGGTTACAGTGTTCGCACAGAGATACGTTACAAAAAAAGTTTGGTTTACATCTGCACTTGGTATTCTGGGTCCGGGTACAGTTTTTTTCCACTTCTAGGCCTAGAAAAACAATTTGCAGACTATTAATTAGAGCAGCTAGTTATAAATGGACGATGAAAAGGATGGGCAGGAGCTGCATGGATTTTTGAGATCCAGCGCTTGTTAGCAGTCACACCATCACACCTTTAGTAACACAACTAGCATTTAAATGCCAAATAGGCGACCCCAGGTTGAAAGAGTTGAAATCATTTAGCAGAGTCTTAAGTAGACAGACAATCCAGCAACCTAGACAACCCCACCTGTACTTAAATGGCTCCCTTTTTCTCATCTAGAGCCTGGCTACTCAAAGTATGGCTTAGAGACCAGCACCATCAGCATCACCCGGGAGCTTGTTAGAAATGCAGAGTGTCGGGCCCTGCCCCAGACCTACTCAATCAGACCAGTGCCAAAACCCTCACTTAGAGATTCTGATTTTATTGCTCTGAGACGGGACCTAGATGTTGGCATTTTTCGGAGCTTCCTGTTTGATTCTAATGTACAGCCAGGGTTGAGAAACACTGCTTTAGAGCCTAAATAGGGATAAGAAAAGCTTTACATCCAGAGAGTTCTTGATGTCTAACAAAACTGGGAATACTTCCGTTTTATTTTAATCTGAACCCTCAAGATAGATTGGGATATCCATGAAAATTCAGGTCCCCAATTGGAATTATCAGGACAAACCAGATCCCCAAAGAAGGGGGAGCAACCCACCCACCTCTTGGGTTCCTCTGTCCTTGTATCTGAAGGCATCTGAGCTCTTTGTGGCTAAGAACAAAAGCCATTATACAAGCATAAATCAAAGCAGGAAAAAAAAAGTCCCCGCAATTTTAATTGGAGCTGATGGACCCTGTTCACCATGTTTACGTTTAGTCATTCTCCTACATCTGGGAGAATTGCCTAGACTTGACTCATAAATGTCACTCAGTACCTGGTCCTGCTTCACCCCAGGACAGGGGTGAAGGGCCCATCCTGTCCCTCCTGTATGCTGACATAGTGCCAGAATAGGTCCCAATTTCAGACTGTATTATACATGGTGATACCTGCAGTACCATGATTGGTCCCTTTCGATTGTTTTTTAAGACACTTACCATGTTCTTCATCACAAACTCTACATCTTCTGCAGTAATAAGAATGATGGTTCTTGTCTGTGTACTCCTCCCCCTCTGCACAGAGCACACATTCTGGTTCACTTCCATCAATTTTGCAATCATCCTTTTTCCGTTTGCCTGCCCAAGAAAAAAAACGGAGCAAGTGTTTAAACACAAGGTAGTCATGCAACAGCAAGGGAAGTCTGCAGGGATGATAATAAAACAGGAGTGGAGGGGCTAAGCTAATGAAATATAAATATAGTAGGGGAGAAAGTTGTTGTAAAAATCGTGGCAAGAGACAGAATTTCTCCCAAGACAAAAGCTAGAAGAGTCACTAAGGAATATGCCTACAGAAATAGGATGATTAAAAATAGGAGCATATAAAACAGAGGTTAGAATGACCAAAAAAGCACTAGAAGAGACACCTTTACCAACTTTGGGGGGAGGAGAAAATAAGGTTGCTAGGTATATATTCATGGTAGAGATGACTGCCACTGGCCACTGAGGTTACCTAATTAATTCTCGTTTCTCTGACTTATTTTACTTTCCAAAGTCCACAAATCCTGACAAGGACAGTATTGTTTAAGGAAGAGAACATTTGAAGTTCTAAAGACTTTGGTCAAATATTTAATAGCAACAATATCTTTAACAAAGTGCTTAATCTGGGACTTCCCTCGTGATCCAGTGGTTGAGAAACCACCTTCCAATGCAGGGGACGCAAGTTCGATCCCTGGTCAGGGAACTAAGATCCCACATGCAGTAGGGCAACTAAGCCTGCATGCCGCAACTACAGAGCCCTTGTGCTGCGACTACGGAGCCCATGTACCACAACTAGAGAGAAGTCAGTGCACTGCAACAAAAGATCCCACGTGCCTCAACTAAGACCCGACACAGCCAAATAAAACAAAACAAACAAAAATAAGTGCTTAATCTCTCTAAGCCTAACTTCTTCATGCATATGATGGAGATGATCATACTTCTCTTGCATGGCTAACATTACTGCACAGGACCTGCCTAGTAATTGCTCACAGTTCCCTTTTCACTCCCCTTTCTTTCTATTCCTTTGCCGTTAAGGGACAGAATACGTTATGATGTGCAGGCATGAACGTATTTACAACAAAATTTATTACCAGGTTTGCTATCTTAATACGCAAAAGTTTAAATCATATTTGCATTTACTTTTATTTACTTTAAAAATAAAATGAGTCATTGGATTTCTATTAGTAAGCATTATACAACAATGCCTTCTGGAAAATTCATTTATTTAAGAAGTGTTTATTAAATACCTATTGTGTGCCAGGCACATTCTAGGAGCTGGAGATACTGCAGGAAATAAGACAAAGCCTGGTCTCCAAAGGCTTCACATTGTCAAGGTAGAAGCAGGCAATGAACAAATAAATACAAGACGGCAAGTGGTGATAAGTGCTGTGGGGAAAGCTAGTTTAGGGCAAGTGAATAGAGAATGAAGACGAAAGAGATAGAAAATATAAAGGGAAATCTAAGAGAAAAGCCTGACGAGTGACTGTAATTATTATGTTATAGCTAATTAAAAAGAATAGGCAAAATCTAATCTGCCCCCCTCGCATGTACAGCAAAAATAATTTATGCTCTTTCCCCAGGTACATGACTTTCTTAATAACCTCATAGCATTCTCTTTTTTTTTTGCCTTTTAAAAGAAAATTTATTGTAACATTTCAGACAATTACTTTACATGACTGTTCAGAAAATATTCTGATTTTAGATCCCATGACAACAACAAAAAAAGATTAGTAGAACAACAACAAAAAAGATTAGTATACAGAGAAGGTGAAAGAAGGAACATTGGAGATCCATATTAAATTTGAAAAGAAAATTCCTCAGTAACAGTAGCTCCTTGCCATTCATGAGCAATATGTTATAAAACCAACACAAATACTCAATTTCACTTATTCCAGTACAGCATGTAGTTTCCATCCAGAAGAATGCAAGTAAAATGTATGTGCACCCATCAGATCCGTAACAATTCTTATAATGGTAATAATAAATGATAATATTAACACTTATTAAGCCAAGGACTCTGCTAAACACCATTAACGCATTTCCATTTAATGTTCACAATAATCGTAAAAGGTCAGAACTATTATTGTGCCCATTTTACAGTTAAAGAACCAGACTCAAAGAAGTCAAGTAACTTGCCAAAGGACATGTAGCTTGTCAATAGCTAGGAGGACCAACCATCCCTGTTTGCCCAGGATGTGGGACTTTTAGTGCTAAAATTGGGGACGTCTCAGGCAAACCAAAATGTGTTGGTCATCCTCTAAGTGTCAGATGGAGGATTTGAAAGCAGGGTCTGATGCCAGAACTTGAGCTATTAAACACTATTCAGTATCTGCTTGGTAAAGATTTCAGCTACCATGTTACAAACTAAGACAAAACTTTTGAAGTGTTACCACAGCTGGTAAAGTGTAGGCGTTTACATTCCAAGACTGGAAGCTCCCTAAGGTCAGGGGCTCTGTCCTGTTTCTCTGCCTTCATCTCACAGTCCCCGTGGCTTGTCTGCTGCACTGGAGAATGTGTGCCCTGGGACATGGTTCTTCACTTGCTTTGCCTTTTCCTTTTTAACACTGTCCCATAACTCTCTGAGACTGCAGTCAAAGCTTCCCCATTTGCCTTCCTGGGATCACTCTACGGAGGAATTATTTACTTGGTATGCCCACTCTGGATGCCAAAAACCTAACTGCAAATGGTGATTAGTACACAGTTCAACACATTACAATGCCTTTACGTTTTCCCTAATTTAGGACTTTGAAAAGGATTAGTCAATGTGGCAGAGATCCCTGATTGTCACCCCAATATCCATTTTCCCTTCTCCTATAGAAATAGGATATTTACCAGGGGACATGGCTGCCCTGAGTCAAGACTACATCTCCCAGCCTCCTTGGCATGGCCATGTGACTAAGTCCCAGCCAATGGGATGTTAGCAGAAGTGTCCAGTAATACCTTCCAGGATGTTTCCCAGAGCTGGTGTGCAGTTTAAATCTAAAGTTTCATCTGCCGTATGTGCATGAACAGCAAAAATAATGTAAGCTGCCTCTCCTAGGAACATGACATTCTTAATGATTTCATAGCATTCTTTTTGATAAAACAAAATACTACATAAACAAATTATGAAATTTAAACATATACAATATTTTAGTAAACAAAGGCAATGATAGGTCAATAGAAAAAAAAATACATTGTGGAAACTCAGAACCAAATTTAAATACAGTGCATAAGGGTTCTATACCATTGCAGCAGTACATTTAAGAAAACCAAGCCCAAGTACAACTTTAATTGCTTGTCAGTGGAATTATACTGCTTTCTAAATGAATTGGCCTCTTTAATGAATTACCTTGCAGAATGTGCCTGGCACAATGCCTACAGCATGACAGGGATACAATATCACAAGTTCTTTCTTTCTTCCAATGTATACAACCTAAATTTATCAAAATATTTAAAAAGTAGTTGTTTTCTTGAAAATAATATTTTAAAATATATTTGTTTCTGAGTATAATAGTACATATGCTCATTGTAGAAAATTTGGAAAATTTAGGAAAGTGTAAAAAGCACCTATACATCAACTGTTCTGCGATACTGTTTTCATTTTGGTGCATTCCTATGCATATAAACACACACATATATACGTGTGAGTATATGTGTGTGTGTACATATATATGTGTGTACGTGTGTGCATATATATATATAAATAATGTATGCAGTGTACCATAGAATCCTTCTTACTGGATATGGTGATGTGATGAGGACTTTTTTGATTAAAAATGTCAGTTCACGTAAGGGATCATTGAAAAAAATACTGTCAATATTTCAATTTATAAAATATAACTATATAATTATTTGCCACTCTTGTGATGTAGAAACAAGTTATTAGAATTCTACAGTCTTTCTCACTTAAGTCACATCCAAAATGCATCGCCTATGATTTCCTTTTGCTTTTTGGGGGGGCAAAATCCGACTTCATCTTTATTTGATTTATCTATTTTTTTTTGGCTGCGTTGGGTCTTAGTTGCAGCACATGGGATCTTCGTTGCAGTGCACAGCCTCTGTAGTTTGCAGCACATGGGCTCTCTAGTTGAGGTGCATGGGCTCAGTAGTTGCGGCATGCGGGCTTAGTTGCCCCGTGGCATGGGGGATCTTAATTCCCCGACCAGGGATCGAACCCGAGTCCCCTGCATTGGAAGGCGGATTCTTAACCACTGGACTACCAGGGAAGTCCCTGATTTCCTTTCTCCCTTTCTTTCTTTCTTTTCTCCTCCTTCTTTCTTTTCTTCCTTCCTTTCTCTTTGATGGAAAGAAAACTTAAAGACACCAATAATCTGTATGAAAGGCTTTAACATTTTTGTGATTTTTTCCATGTATTTTGCCTCCACCTAATTCATCAACATTTTTTTTAGTAAACCGACTTTACTGAAATTCTCCAGAGCATTCAAAATAATTTTCATAGAAATAAAATCTGTGTATTCATACATTGGTTTATGTAATATTTAATTAAATTACCTATTAATATCACAACACCAACAAGCATAAACAAATTTGGAAGCAATCTGAATATTGATAAGCTTAAAATTAAAAAAAAAAGGAATAGAAGTGGAAAGAGTGTTTAGTATATATTGGACACCATCCAGGATCTTTTGAGATGGAGCAGAGAGAATTAGTTAATCCAGCCAGCAGATCAGTTAGGAATCTCTTAAGGGAATTTATATACATTGAGGCTTATATCAGAAATATATCAGAAAACATGACTTTGATTGATACGTAATATTCCAGACTTTGAATACTCCAAAATTTACTTAATCTTACATCATTGGGTATCATAGTGAAATGTCATGCATACAATATTTTCTTTTATTTTTGACTATTTTCTTAAGACATTTTTCTATAAACCTATTACTGTATCAGCGTATTTTCAAATTTTTGATCCACATATCCAAATTTCCTTCTTAAAAGGTTTTTTTTAACAATTTACATTCCAACAACGACATATGAGTTCTCTCACAAGCAAACTCACCAGGACTGAGATCACTTCTAAAACGAAAATAAAACAAAGCAAAACAAACAAACAAAAAGCAAGCAAAGTCCTTAACAGTTTGATATTCAAAGCTTATCATCTTCATTTTAATTTGCACTTTAGGTTTTAAAAAAAGGAGTAAAGGTCTCAATTCACAGGAAAAATAGATGGTGTTTAGCAAGTTCCAAAAATCCAGAAAGCCATTCTTCATTCTCATTTGGAGAAGGGTAAATGTGAATACGCTTAAATATAAATGGGTTAGATTATGAGAGATTTTCCAAAAGGGTTATTAAAACCTGGAGAGAAGGCCAGGAAGGACTGTTAGAATCTTTTTATAAACAGGGCCCGTGCCTGTTTAGCAACTAGAGTGCTGGAGGCCTGGAAAGCCAAACATGAAACTTACCACCGTCCTTTATGGTTCTATTAATCTATCGCATATGCCCATGTGTTGTTTTCCTTTATCTTCCTGTTTTCCTTCACAATGCAACTGGGAGATCCGTATCTGTATAAAATAGTAGTCAACTCTACTCCATGTTGAAATAAAAAGTCTGCCCAATTGCATTTTGCTTAGCTTCCAATTTGCTACTGTTAGAAGGATTTCCAATCTGAAACTGCTCTTCATTTCAAAAATACTGATTTTAAAAAATGGTTGGTTTTTCTCCGTTGCTTTCCTAGCTTATCTAGTTATTCAGTGGTAAAATGCAAATGTATTTTGCAGGCTTCAGTGCTAGGACAAACAGCTTTCTCAGAGACTCTCTGATCGAAGGGAAGTGTTGAGACATCTCTTAAAGATAGAAGTCCCTTGCTTTCAGAGCTCCACAATTATTATGAAATATTCTAACCAGTCTGATGTGCTAAGTTTTAATATCCACAAATTAGTCTGCTTTTGCTGTTGAAAAATGGAGCTAAATAAATAAATCCTCTCATTTCTGAGGTACATGTCATTTATAAATTATATTTACTTATTCTCACATCAAACCAGTGTGATAAAGATGACGTAAGCTGGTCTTCGGAAAATAATGTCATATTTTTTTTCCTTCCCAGTCAGGCCATAATGCAGGAGAACTAAACGCTGTAAAAACACTCTCTTCATTATTATTATATGCTACTCCTCACCCTGATTTTCATTCTGATCGCTAGATTTTTTTTGTATAACATACCAGGAGGACACGGCTGACAACAAAATTCGTGCTCACGATGCAGGCCTTCATCGCAGCTCTCCCTTTTAGTAATATTCTTACTCAATTTCAGCATCTCAGAGTTGCTATCAGCCACATGGGCATTATCACCTTTAGACAATGGTCCAGCAATGGAGGTAAATATCTGTAAAAGAAAAACACGAAGAGAATTTTACTGATTTCTGAACTAAGCAACTCGGTAAATAGGTGTAAGCCGCCCCAAATGGCTGTATTTTATTTGCCATGCACAGGCAAAATCAACGTGGGTTCCATCCTTCCACTGACTCATCTCCAAAAAATGAGCAGATCAATTGCATGACAGTCCAGACCTCGGGTTCTCCAAACTACTTGAGAAACAGCATCACGGATGGTAGGAGCCACAGCTCTGGGCTCAAAAGTCATGGCTCCCACTTATCAGCCCTATGATTGAGGGGAAAGTCATGAAATTTCAAAACAACTGTGGTTTGAATCCCAGCTGTGCTGCCAACACTGACTTTGGGCAAGTTAAAGGGCCTCACTGATCCTCAGTTTCCTGATCTGTAAGTGACAGCAGTACTTTCTGTCTTGAAGGGTTATTGTGACGATAAAAAGTGATAATTTCTCCCAAACCTGGTACTTAGCTTACAGCATGTTCTGTTTCTTCCTTTTTTATATATAGCAATAGAATCTACAGTTTTGATGAACTCCTTCCTGGTTATCTAACCATACAACAAATCCAACAGGATTTTCTTCACTTTTATTCAGGAAAAATGAACTTCTCTTAATAGAGAACCAATCTTTAATTTATTATTTGTTCCTTTTTTTCTGGAGACAAAACCCATAGGTCCAAGTGACACTGTGTCAAATTTATCTTAGTTAGGCTTGAGTTCCTTAGAAAAATGAGCCTCTAAAATGTATGGAAACATTTGGGGGTAATGTCTGATTCCTTTCTCAGGTTTTCTAAACATTTTTTTTTTTAATTTAATTAATTAATTTATTTATTTTTGGCTGTGTTGGATCTTCGTTTCCGTTTGTGGGCTTTCTCTAGTTGCAGCAAGCGGGGGCCACTCTTCATCGCAGTGCACGGGCCTTCACTGTCGCGGCCTCTCTTGTTGCGGAGCACAAGCTCCAGAGACGCAGGCTCAGTAGTTGTGGCTCACGGGCCTTGTTGCTCCACAGCATGTGGGATCTTCCCAAACCAGGGCTCGAACCTGTGTCCCCTGCATTGGCAGGCAGATTCTCAACCACTGCGCCACCAGGGAAGCCCTCTAAACATTTATTGTTTGTCTCTCTAAACACAAATACAAATAATTTTTCATCTTATGTGGAATATGTAAATTCATTGCTAAGCATCAAAAAATTTTAAACTACTGGTTCTGAGGATTTTTTTCCTCAAGGTCATTTTTCATAGTTTTCATGGTATACATTTTTTCTTCTATTTTATGGCATCTTCTGGGTCAAGAGAACTAAATATTCTTTGCGTATAAATCACTGCCACAGGAGTCCCCACATCTTCCCTTTTAGCCCTTCCCCCTTTGTCACCAAAGCCTGTATCCCTTCTAAGTCACAAGATACCATGGGACCTCCAAGGAAGGAGGGACGAAGGAGATGCGGTTGCCATCTTTTCCTCCTGGGATGGATGTATTGATGTATTTAAAAATACATTTCTAACATCCAGACTCCAGGAGGGAATATCACACCAAAATATCAAGAAAATACCCGACTTATCCAGGGTCACTCATGAGCAAAAGGTAGAGAGCTAGGACTTGTCTGAGTCTCCTCACTCTTATTACAGTGTTTTTTCCCCTACACCCAACTCACCATAAAATACAGCTTACTTTCTCTATATGAACAATTCTATGTAAGGAATAATTGGAAATGGTAAACAGATCAGAGGAATTATGCCTAAATATACTGGCTTCACTATCAAACCACTGCCTTTTCAACCCAACAGACATTTCACTAGCACCTTCTATGTGCCAGGTTCTGTGAACACAGAGACAAGTAACATTGATTATAATCGAAAATGAATGTTAAGTTTCCAAAAGCAGATTTGCACATGGGCATATTATTTGTAATGTATTAATCACTGGGGGATTTTTTAACGTTATATTTGCATGACTCTTACTTTTTAAAACACATTTGAATCTATGATCTTCTTCTGAAGCAGCTTTGAACAAAAAGTATTTATTAGTATCAATTTCTCTTTTCAAGATGACAGTTCCCCACTTCCTACCTTTTCTACAGAAGGTCATCCTGTCATTCTGTTAATATTAGTCCCTCTTCTAGATCAGAGCATCAATAGCTAATGAACAGTAACTGAATTGGGCACTTTAGGAAATAATAATGTGATTGAAATCACACCAAAGGGTTAACTGCTAAGATGGGAAGCGCTTTCAAATGAAAGTCATTCACCTTTTAGGATCCTTATTCTATAAAGACTTTGTTCTGTTTGACAGTCAGAAATTAAATATACTAACCATGTAACATTCCAGACATTGCCAGCACATGAAAATTCTCAAACAAATGTAAACGTCTCTGTAGCTAGAAGAAAGCAGTAAGTCCTTTACGAAAGAGATAATGGAAAACAGAATCTAAGTAACCAAACTGAGTAGAAGCAATTCCTTTCTGTTATCAGCCACCTCTGTTGCTGGGAAGAGGGAGTTAACAGTGAGATATTACTTGCTCTACTCTTTCAATTCTGGTTTCTCACCAGAAACTGAAGAAAATGACACAGATTTAAACTCAAAGAGATCTGAGTCAAAATTGGGTAGCCAAAATTGACAAGTCAAAGGTGCTCAAAGTTGATACCCAATAGTGTGTGTGTGTGTGTGTGTGTGTGTGTGTGTCCCCTACAGCTATAGGTCCCATCCTTTCCTTGGTAAGCTAATTTCATCCAGCAGTCATGTGACAATATTACAAGCAGGTCCACAATTCCTGATTTAAATGATCAAGCACTCAGAGAGTGCTTAACATTTATGTAATGTAACATTTATGAATTGTTACCTTAGTGTTATTTCTAAAAAAAACTGTGCATATACTAAACGTTCTGGAGATGTCTAAAAGAAATGTACTTTCTAATTTTGCTTTAGTTTTGAAGTTTTTGACTGGAAATCAAAACCCACTGTCCAAAAATACATTCAGAATTTGAGAAATGTGAATCTTGGAGTAGAACAGTGAAAGACATAAACATCACTGGCCATGGAGCAGATACCAGCACCAAACTCATCTCATATTTGATCACACCTGCTTCACAGAGCTGAATTTCTGGAAACATTTCCTACTTAGTTCAGCATCAAAGAATTATGTCAAGGATAAAAAAAGAAAGATGGGTCTAAAGAGCATGTTCTAACTCTTACGAGATATTATGTAAGCAGTGTTCCACACAGCTTGTGTTTTTTTAAGTTTTTGCATTAGCTCAAGTTTGTAGTATGCAAAGATTTAACCCAAACTTTCCAGGCAGAAACTGGGGTGTTTTTGACTGTGACAAGGCAGGAAACCCACAAAGAACTAAATGATCAGAATGCTCAAAAGTTTTTTTTTCCCAAAAAAGCTGAAAAGGCCAGAAAATCAGTTAAATCAAAGATGTGAAAAGTGGATAAACTGAGGCAAATGATAACCAAATGGGAAAAAAAGGAATAAAATTAATTTAAAATTTCCATCAAGACAAAGATTAAAAAGTCAGAGAGACCTCAATTTTATATTCTGCTGGGAATAATATTAGCTAACACATTAATTACTTAAATGAGTAAATACTTTGTTGAGTACCTACTATGTGCCAGACAGACATCCAAGAACAGAGCAGTAAACAGATAAAGACTTAGCTCTCATAGAGTTTATATGTAAATGAAGTGTACTATATTAGGGTTCTTGAGAGAAACAGGACCAATTGTGTGTGTGTGTGTGTGTGCGCACGCACACGTGTGTGTGTGTGTGTGTGTGCATGTGTGTGTGAAGAGAGAGATTGATTTATTTTAAGGAATTGGCTCACACAACTGTAAAGGCTTGGCAAGTCCAAATTCTGCTGATGGGGTAGACCAGTATGCAGAGGAGTCAGGGAAGAGCTGCAGCTCAAGTCCAAAGGCAGTCTGGCAGAATTCCTTCTTCCTTAGGGAATCTCAGTCTTCATTCTATTAAGGCATTCAACTGACTGAATGAGGCCCACTCACTTACAGAGGGTATCTAACTTACTCAAAGTTTACCAATTTAAATGTACAAATCAACTAAAACAAACAAGCAAGCAAAACTGTCACAGAAACATCCAGAATAATGTTTGAGCAAATATCTGGGTGCCATGGTCCAGTCATGTCGACACGTAATATTAAGCATCATGTGGAGGGAAATGATAAAGAAACAAGGAGGAATGAGTGCTATTTAAAGGAATAAAGCAAGCTTGGGGGCATGGAGACTTTGAAGGGTGAGGTAGTGATGTTTTAGGAAGAGTGGTCTGGGAAGGCCACAGAATAAGAAGACATTTGGGCCGTGACTTTTTGCAAGTGGATGACTAGCTGGGAAGGGCTTTCCAGGCAGGTCACACCCAGAGGAACTTGGCTTAGCCCAAATGGGGACATACCTGATGACCTCAGCAAAAGCATTATTAGCAGCTAGCTATTAAGAGAGATAAAGGTAAATGTCTCCTGAATCACACTGGTAATTAACATGTTGACCACTGAAGCCACAGTGGGGTCATACAGCCAATCATAACCATAGACGCTGCAATCTCGTAGAATCCTGGAACGTCAAAGCAGAAAGGGACCATATGAGCATCTGCTCAGCTTCAATATAGATTTTAAAAATGGATCTCCTTGTGTCTTTCATAATCTACAGGATTTTAATATTTTCTGCAAATCAGAAAATTTGCTTCTCTCTCTCCTTCTGAATCGTTCGTGAAAGTGTTAAGTCAGGAAACCAAACCCTAGACATTTGCCTAGCTTTTTACAAAGTTCATTCACATACATCACCTCGTGGTCATCACAATAAATCTACACATAAGGAATTATTATGGCCTTATTTTATAGCCGAGGAAGCTGAGCACAGAGTATATGAAATGACTCGTCCAATAACCTACAGTTAGGACTGGCCAAGGGAGGACTCGACAATTCTGGCCCAAACACCTCTGGGCTGTTTCAGGTTTACAAATTACTTTCCTAGTTGCTTTCTCCACTTAGGCACACAAACAACTCAATTTGTTTTCAGACAGTTGTTCGCAAGACGCCTGTGTGTTAATTATACAATGAACCTTCAAAGCAAAGGCACGTTGAAGGTGGAGGGAGTCTGGCAGGAACTTCCTAGAAACCAGAAGTAAGTCCCCTGCCCTCTAGTCTGGGAAAACTGTAGCAAGACTGTCCAGGTTGGGGTTCTGGCTGGCAGGGAAGGTGAAACTTCCCAGCCCTGGTCTGCAGCTTGAAAGGAAGGGGAGTTTA